TGCTGAAACCTGCTGAAAGCCGAACATCTGACGAAACCTGCTGAGAGTCGAACATCTGCTGAAATCTGCTGAGAGCTAAACATTTGCTGGAACCTGCTCAGAGCCGAACATCTGCCGACACCTGCCGACAGCTGAACTTCTGCTGTAACCTGCTGAGAGCTGAACATCTGCCGACAGCTAAACATCTACTGAAACCTGCCTGGAGCTGAATAACTGCTGAAGCTTCTTGGTAGATTCAGCTGCTGTAACTGAAACAACTTCATCTGGGCAGAACAGGAGCTTAAAGCTAAAGTTAGCAAAACTTTAACTGAAAGCTAAAATATGGAAAACGGTAGCTAAAAATAGAAATAGCACAGGAGAAAACAAACACAGCCAGTGTGAGCTAAAATATATCTTAGATATTTGTTTGAGGATTTTTTATTTTAAAAAATAAAGTTATTTAAATAAATTATAGAAGTTACAAAAAGCAGAGCTAAGCGGCCTCTGGCTCACCTGAGAACAGAACAGGTGAGTCAGTCCGGTCCAGACTCGATCCAGAGATGGAGGTCGAGTCTGACCCTGCAGGAAAACTAATCGGGTTCAGGTGTGCAGAGCCTCCTGGACAGGTGTTCCGGTCCGGACTGGAACAGAGCAGCTCTCTGCTGCCCCCTGCTGGCTGAGCATCATTTAGCTGCATGAGGCAACAAGAAGTCACTGATGATCACCACCGGTCTGTTAGCAAAATATCTCGTGAACCACCTGACAGTTTACTGAAACTCTCAGTTCGTCAGAAGCACAAAGGTCTGGACTCCAGTTTGATTTAAAATCTGTTGGACGTCACCGAACTGAAACCAGACTGGAGACCTCAGAACTGGACCATCTTGCCAAGTTCCATGTCCATAACAGTAAAAGAACGCACAGGAAACCTTTCTTTGATCTTTGTAATGATGTAAAACTGTATCTTGACACAATCTCGGACTCAAATAACAAAAAGGCTAGAAAACAAAAAATATCTGTAATTAATACAACTCAACTTTGTAACTCGCGTTTATTTATCTTTGTATTTATTTTATTATTGTTTGCTTCCTTTTTTGACATGTTCAATGTTATTTAGTATGTATTTTTTAGATTCTTGTATTTGAAGTGAAGTTCTAAATAAAAGATATAAAAAAAAACCAACATAGAACCAGGACCAGGTACCTGGACCAGCCAGGTACAGGTGCATGAAGCCCCGCCCCCTCCCTGTTACTCATGCAGTCTTTATTTCTACAGGTTAGTCTCATTGAGCCTCGAGGACTCATTTAGGAGCGAGACCTGGTTTTAACAAAGAGTGAAGACATGATCATAAAATAAAAAAGAAATAAAAATTAAAATCAGCTGAGGAGACTCTGGAGTAAAAAACACCTGAACGTGTAGAAGTTTATTTAAATATTTGTTTTCTAGCACGATCAACCAACCATTCATTATAGTCAAGTCACGTGACGTCATGATCGTGTGCGAGTGGAAGTGGGCGGGGCTTAGAGCGCCTCGTTGCTGGCACGCAGACTCTGGTTCCAAAGACCCCAGAGGAACTGGTTCCTGCTTCAGACGTGACGCTCGTGAACGAGCAGTCTTTAAAACCAACGATGGGAACCGAGTCGCAGACAGCGGTTGTTGTGACCGACACGCTCAGGAGCGCACGGTTGAAGTCTGGTGCGTCTGCGGCGTGTCACTACGTGCCGTCGGTTAGTCACGTGGCACAGCTGCACTACGCACCGCGACCAGTCCTTCTTTAAAAGGAACAGGTTTCAAAGATCCAGCTCCCTGTAAGGAGCTGGAAATCCCTCTCTGGTTCTGGTTGAACGCCGAACACAAGTTCAGGACAGTTGGTTCGGTGTGACCGGACCGCGTTACGAGTCTGCAGCCGTTCCAGACTTCCTGTCCTGGGTCAGAGGCTCCCGGTCCCACCGCTCCAGTTTGGAACGTTCAAGGCCTGGATCTAGAATCAAGTCTCCAGAGCGGAACTAGTTCTTCCAGCTCTACAATCCACACCCGTCTTCTCACGGTTCTGAGCCTCCAGCGGTCTCAGCCGAGACCCGTTCAGATCCAGAACCTGTCACAGACCAAGACGCAAGAACCTTGAACTCTTCTTCAACGCAACCGATTCAGGAGTTCCAGCGACACTCGACCAGGAGGAAAATTATTCTGTTTAAGAGACGTCACCTGGTCAGCAGCAGGATGTGTTGCCATGACGACAGACAGGTGATCATCAGCAGGTCGTCCCTCCGTCCACGTGTTATTTACAAGATGTTCAACATTTACAGAAAACACAGCATCTCCAGAGAACAGGATCAGATAAAACAAAGGTTTTATTTTTAATAAAAGTTTGACATGATCAGCTGGTTTCATCATGAAGTCCACTTCCTGTCAGCTGGTTTCATC